CTTGAATTATTGCACTCTTCGATAACCAACATCCTATCTTTAGCTGTTCCAAATGCTGAGTAATGAAAAAACAATTTAAAAATTTATTGCAAATCTTGTTTAATTTATAGAATTCAAATAAAGTTAGTAGTATGTTTTTAATAATAAAATATAAAACTACTACTATTGGGGATGACTAAAAGAATTCTAGTAAACTTATTATTTCAAATAAACAACACAATTTTCATATTAAGAAATTACTATTAGTATTACTATGTGTAAAACTGTTAAAGTGTAATCATTTAATTTTATCTAATTAATAAAAAATAGTAAACAATCAATTATCATTTGTACCTAATTCTCTAACAATTCCGGCTTGTCCCAATTTCTCAGGAGTGAGTTCTTCGAATCGTGGGACAATTCGACCTCCAGTAGCAATGGCAATCAATTCTATTTCTGGTCCACCAACCCAACGAACTGCTGGTAAATTGTTTTGAAGTAAAAGATGATTTGCTTCATCGTCAAAGCCCCATTGACAAATAGCTAAAGTGGCACCGGAATCTTTAACCTAGTAATGGAGATATGAAGATATAAAAAATATATTCAAAAAATAACATTTTAATATGATCAAAATATTTATCAAGATATAAATAAAATATGACTAAATACAATAATATCTATAACAAAAAAAACTGCACACACAAAATAATGTAAATAGGTAACAAAATATGCTTTTCGGTCATTATCACTGATCAGATCAGAAACTATATACCATAAACTTAAATATGTAAACTAGTGGTGTATGGCATTGTGCCTTAAGGCAAATTGCAGTTTAAAAAAAAATTTTAAACTTTGAAAAAAAAAGATTTGAGAAAATTTAAATTTTTGAAAAATATTGAATTTTTGATTTTTTTTTAAAGTAATTGCACTGCATAGAGACTAAATATCGAAGCGCGTAAGCGCCGCGTCGCAGTATAACGGACAAATGAAGTTACGGAACCTATAGAAATGTAAAGAAAACTGATACACACTAAAATCTCCATAAAAAATCTGATAATTTGATGTGCATATGTCTAATAATCATTTTCGAACGCCAAATGGAGTTTTTTTTTTTTTACTTTTTTTACTAGATCTCCGAAACCACTACACCTGCCTTTCCAAAAATTTAATCAACTCTTCATCTTGTCAATACAAGTAATTTTTTTTTTTTGAATAATTAAAATCGGACTTAAAATTAGACCTGCCTTTGCCAAAAACTAATTAGCACGCCTCCTTATCTATAGGAATCGAATGTTTTTTAAATTATTCAAATCGGTTGATCAGTGTTCCCAAAATCGACGAAAATTTGTATAGACACACACACACACACAAACAAACATTCATTTCTCCTAAGGTATGCCAAAATGTCCACAAACCTTTGAAACATAAAGATATATAAAAATTTTCACTTTAGATTTTTTGTGATTACTATAACTTATCCTATGAGAAGTTAATAAGGATTTATTTGTAGAATTTATTTCTTCTAAAGTCCATATGACTAAAAAAAAATCAATTAATAATAAAGTACCTGTTTAACCATCTCCTGGAACTTCTCAGCCTCATATTTTCTGAGCTCATTATAATCTTCAGCAGACTTGACTTCCATCTTATGTTTAGTTTTTGGCTTTGGTGGTTCAAATGGGCAGGTTAAAATAGCAACTTTGGCATTCTATAAAGAAATAAATTATATATTTCGTATAAAATCAAAAAGATGCAAATTACAACTATTATTTGTTTTTTTGCTCAAAAAGCACTTCCATGATGTGTCTTATAGTTTATTTTTCAACATATATGTTTCAAACAATCAAAATAATAAGAATAGAAAAATATATACAAATGTTAGAAACAACACCTTTAGTAAATATTTCTAACAGCATTCAAATTGATATCTTTGCTGTTTGAGAACCTACTTTTTTTTATTTTTCATAATTCATTTTATCCCCTGCATTATATAAACATGGAAGTAAAAGTATACATGATCGGCAATTTTACTGAAAGTTTATCTCATGTCACCGGCTATTACTTCACAATTGAATGAAGAAGTAAAAGTTCCATTACTGAACATCAAAGTGTTAAGATCAAGTTATTAATATATACACAATTATATTAAAAGTATAATTTGATATTTCCCATTTTGCTAATTTAACATAGGCTATAGATGCAAGATATTGGAACTACTATTAATAATTATATATGTACAAAATAGGAGGTCTGAATTACTATATTTGTAATATTGCAATAGATTTTTAATCTTGTTTGAAGATCATGAAGATCAAAAATATAACAGATCTCACAATTGCTTTGTCTCATTCTTTCCAATGTCAGATCACAATATCAGTAACCAAATTTATTTCTTAAAATGAAATAATTATCTTTTCACTATTACGATTTCTAATAACAACAACATTAACCCTGTTTTTTTTATAACAGATTTTTCTAACTTTATAACAACATCCACTAAAGCCATATTTTGAGTTATGAATGCAATATTTGTCTTGCTGATAAAAAAAGTTTAAATAGTAAGATTAAAAAAATAGAGGAAAATATACAATAAGAATAATGAAATTAAAATATGAACTTTTATTACAACACTTCCTGTAAACATTTTCAATATCATGCAAAATAAAAATTACCTTCAATGTTTTTGGCATCTGTGAATGGCTCATGGTTTTGTCAATAACAACACCTTTCACAAGCATTGAATCTTCCATTCGACCACCATCCTTACACACTATTTTTATCAATTCAAAGTTGACATCCTTCTTTTCCAAGTCTGCGACAGCCATAACAGCCTAAAAAATTAATTATTTATAGAACGTAATTCCAAAAACTCTTGCATTTTTTAAACAATTATCAAATTTCACAAATCTAATACATCAAGATAGCATTTAAATTAATTAAATAATTTGACATGCATTTATTACTTATTACTTAAGCAGGTAAGTTAGTAATACAATTATTATTAATATTAAATATTGATATTATTATTAGTTACTTATGATAACCAATAAACACAATGAACAAATAATATTTAAATATCATGCTCAAAATTCATTCTTTAAACATTTATAATTTATTTATTATACAAATTAATTATTTCCTCACATTGACAGCCATTTCAGCCATCTGCCGGTGGCACTTGTTAACAATTTTTGATCCCAAAGTCGTCATTGCCACTTTGATCAATGGCTCGAGATTATTTTGGGAAATAGGAAAACCTTCTGAAATGCTATCAAGATGCTTCATAGCACATTGCGCAGCTAGTTCATAACCATCAGCGATACGAATTGGGTGTATTCCACGATCAAGTAAACTTTCTGCATGCTCCAATAAAGCACCTAAGAATTTAAAAACAGATTTTTGTAATAAAAATATTACAATATTGATGCAAATCTACAAGTAACTATTACATTCAAATTATGATTATTAACCTTTTCCACATGCACATTGCAAAAATAATATATTACGACATTTGTGAAGTATTATGTCACTGAAGTGATGGCACGAGAGTTGAAAGTGATAATAGTGTAGTTGAAAAATATATATTTAAAAATACATTTTTAATCGTTTTTGTTATTCCAAATTAAAAATTAAAGTTAATAATAAAAAATCAAATTTATAAAATTAAGTTGGCTACCTGCTAAGACAACAACTCCAGTTGTTCCATCACCGATTTCATCATCTTGAGACTGTGACAATTGCACCATCAATTTACCAATTTCATGCTCCACATCCATCATTTTTAAAATAGTTGCCCCATCGTTAGTAACAGTGACATCACCATCAGATGATACCATCATCTTGTCTAGACCTTTTGGTCCCAAAGAGGTCTTTAACGTCGAGGCAATAGACCTCGCAGCCAAAATGTGCGACTAGAATAAATAAAACATAATTTAACTCAAAGCAATAGATAAATGCATTAAAATTGATGTTTTATAATAGTTTTTTTTATAAATATGCAAAATGTATTGTTCATTTATGAAAGATCATTTTGATCAATAATCTAACTGGATCAATTTATTATTCAGTTTCACTTATTTCACTTTCGCTTAGATGAGCAAAAATTTAAACCTTTTAATAAATCATCTTGCAAAAACTGTGCAATAAGAGATTTGGCAAACAACTAACATTAGTTTTACTTAACAATGTATGTTATAATAATACAGATACTTCTATATCAGCATCATTTATTTTTATTTCATTTCAATCAAGTCTTTAAATAATAACTTTTTAAATTAAAATACATACTTATATTAGTTAATTGTAGTATAAATCTAATTTAATTTAACTAACATCAGTCATATAATGTTCACCACTACACACACACAATCAATAAATACAAATTAAGGGTTTGAGAATTTTTTAAAATATTTATATGCAATTATGCGATTCATTTGCTTCATTATTTAATATCTTTCACTTTCGTTTAAAAATGAAATATGAATTAAGGCTATTTTCAATACTGTAAAAACAACTTGGATTCCTTCATACAATTATATGTATATAAGCAAATACTTTACAAGTTTTATATCAATTCAACTTATGTCAAATAAACACTTGTGTTCATTAATATAATACAAGGCCTGGGTATTGCATATTATTTTACACTTGAGATTATGGCTAAAAGTCATGTCAATTTTGAAAAGTGAGGTTATAAATAATTTTCACTTAAAATTGCAATGTAAACGTAATACCATAATAATAATTTGGCTTAAGCTCATTATTCTGTTCCATTGGATTAATATTTAATGTTACTTAAAAAAATATGAACAAAATAAAATATTTTTGGATCTTTCTCGAACACCGAATCACAAGATTTAGGTGCGGTTAGGAAAGAAAAGTATGTGACTATAAATACGTTTTCTATCAAAATAATATAAGTACTATAACAAATAGCATTTTGAAATCGTATCACATGCAGAAAATTAAGACTATCGATAACAATTACTTCCATATAATATAAAATAACCATTATTTCTTACTTTCAAGGCATCGTTCCCTGTAAGTCTTTTTTGTTTATCCTGGTCCCTCAGAATTATGAAAGGTCTGCCGTATTCATCAAAGGCTATACTTCCTGGGAAAGCCGCCATCGTTAGATTCACCAAGTAGTTAAACAATTGCTAGATGTTTAAAGATTTTAAATGCCATAAAAACTTGCACAATTCACAGAGCGACGGCAAAAACAAATGAACCGAAACTAAGATGCGAAGTTTGTACGAAGATAGGAAACATTCGACAGTTGACAACGTAAGGAATTTGCTATGTTGGTATTTCTTATACCAGCGAGTTTGAATTATGGATCATATGTATCGTAGAAAAATAAAACATACATGTTATAATAACAGTAAATAATATACAAAAATAGGTTTTTAGAAGAATATCAACATTAATTATAGAGCCACAATTAAAAACTTTTTGAGGAAGGCAAAATGTCACTTAAAAAATTTGAGAAAATGTAGACAAACAAGTGTATGGCATCGTGCCTTAAGGCAAATTGCTGGAACTTTCCGTACCGTAACGAAATGTTCAAGGAATATTAAATTTTTCAAATAAATTATTATAAATCAATACTGTACAATAAAAAATAAAAAAATTGTAACCATTTTTTTTTTCCAAAAGCAATTATTTAGTTGAAACAAGCAGGAAGTTTTTTGAATCTTTCAAATCGGACGCTTGTTCTTTCAAAAACTGCCATTATTGCACCTTTTGCTCTGCATCTTTGAAACCGCTGGACCTGCTTTGCCGAAAAGTAATCACCACTTCTCCACGTCATTACGAATTGAATATTTTTGGATCATTCAAGTCCGATGCTTCGATCTCTCAAAAACTCGATTTCTATTTTTTGCTCCAAAACGGTTGGACCTGCCTTTTCCAAAAACTAATAAGCATATCTCCCTATCAATAGGGATCGAATGTTATTTGAACCATTCAAATCGGTTGATCCGTGCACCTGAAAAGGTGGACGAAAAAATTGTATTCATACATATACATACACACACACTACCCATTTTTTCTGAGGTATGTAAAACTGTTCAGAAAACTTCAAAACGTGAAGAAATGTATTTTTTGTTTTAAATGTATCAATTTAGATTTTAGACGATTAAAATAACTTACCCTACGGAATGTTAAGAATTACCTAACATAAATGCATACTTGCATACTAAAGTAACTCCGGAGTGAGTTTATATCCGAGGATATAACTCTTCCTTCAAAGTTAAGCGAACGGAATTGTATCAGACAATTTGTCAATTTGTCATATCCGCATCATTAAACTAGTCGAAGATCCGTTAACATAATCAATGAATCGATTATTTATTTGATCGATGTATTCTATAAAACAAGAGCTGATGACATTTGCTCACTCTAGCATTTGCTTGTGATTTTTCACAAATTGAAGGAAAGATTTAGGTCAAAAGAAGTGGTTGTTTTTTGTTCATAGACAATTTTATTTTTTTCTAGGTATAAAATTACCCAAAAATACCATTTTGTATTTACTATAAAATACAAAAATATGATTAAAAAAATTCAGATCAACAACGAAATTGAGTTCAATTGTGAACAGCTCAAATGAATACATTATTTAATAGTAATGGTTCAATTTCATAAAAACTATAAACCTCGTCCGCGAATGAATGTAATCAGAAAATGGCGAATATTATGCAAAGGCATTTAATCTAGTTTGTTCATGGCACGAAATAACAGTGATTTTTTCAAATGGTCTGCAAACAGCAAGAATATCTTGTATTATATTATTAGTTTTTACATAATTAATTATAATATATGTGAAAGTAATGATATGCTAATCGAGCAACCCGATATACAATTGAACTTTGAAAATAGAAGGGAAATTTGAGGTATCATTATTTGGTGAAAAAATTTTTTTACAAAACTTTTGTTTTGTTACATACATAAGTTTACAACATTATTTTCATATAAAAACTAGCAAACCCGACGAACTCGTTTCGCACCAGATGGTTTCGTGAGAAAGACGAAGAAGAAATTTTTGTTTGTTTTATATTTGAAAAGGAAAAATTTGATCAGAAAGAAAACCCGACTTATTTGTATATATATAGAAAAATAATCTATTTGCAATTATTAAAACAATTGCAATTATTGATTATTTTTAAAACTCGAATTTTTAATTACGGTGCGTGAAGTTCGAGCAATTTGCATTAGGGCACGTGCCATGCACCACTAATTTCTTAGCTATAAACCTTGCGGAGCCGAGAACTTTCAGCGAATGCAAAATTGTCGAAATCGTTCGTGCGTTCTGGAGTTATTTCGTCAGGAAGGAAAACCCGACTTATTTTTACATATATAGAAGATAATCTATTTGCAATTATTAAAACAATTATTGATTATTTTTATTACTTGAATTTTTAATTGCGGTGCGTGAAGTTCGAGCAATATGCGTTAAGGCACGATGCCATGCACCACTAATTTTCTTAGCTATAAACCTTGCGGAGCCCGAGACCTTTCCAACGAATGCAAAATTTTCGAAATCGATTCGTGCGTTCTGGAGTTATTACATCAGGAAGGAAAACCCGACTTATTTTTATATATATATAGAAGATAATTAGGAATTTCGATTTATTTTCTTCATTAATAATGATAAAATTGAATCAAGTTTTCCGATTTTCAATTCTTTATAAAGCAAAATCCACATTTATAAAATTTATTAATGAATTCATTACCAGAAAAATGCAGTGAATGTAAAACAGTAATATCTTCATTTTTCCGTAAAGACGATAAAGCAAAATGCAATTATTGTTCAAATTTTTAACTACTTCTTCTTCAAATACTAGAATTTTAATTTTAATAATACATTTGAAAAGAAAACTTTATTAACTTTCCGCAGGGTGATTTATAGTAATCGTCCAAAAATTGAAAAGAATTTTTTTGCATAGCTTTACATTTCAAAAGTTTCTAAGCACCCTGGAATACATTAAAAAAATTGATGTATGTATGTGTGTGCGCGTGGTTGTGGATACAATTTTCCGTCAACGTTTTCAGGAGCACGGATCAATCGATTAAATGATTCAAAAAACATTCGATTCGCATGTATGAGGAAACGTGTTGATTAGTTCTTGGCAAAGGCAGGTTCAGCCGTTGCGGAGATGTGGAGCGGAAATTGCCGAAAATTAATTTAATAAAGAATTGATTAACTTTTGCAATGGCAGGTCTAGCAGTTTCGTAGAACTAAAAAAATGTTTTAAAAACTGCTATTTGGCGTTCGAACCCAGATATTTTCAAAAACTTTTAAGAAATGCATTTAAAAAAAAATAGTTATAAAAATTCCGTTTTCACAAATTAACAATATTTTCGAACGTTTTCAAATTTTTCACAAATATTATTATTTCAATATTCAAATTTTTCGAGTGCCTTCAAAATTAAAAAAAAACTAGCTGTAAGTGGAATTCTGTCTTGAGGCAATTATGGCATCGTGCCTTAAGGCAAATTGCTGGAACTTCCCGTACCGTAACGAAATGTTCGTGGAATACTGAATGTTTTCAAATAGATTATTATAAATATTGTAACATTGTCTAATATTTATAAGAATTATATAAACTGAATTGCAGAGTTGAAATTATTTGTAAGGTATATTGGAACTATAGTCAGAATTGAAAATAAAATCTAAAATATTTTCGATATACAAAAAAAAAAAAAAAAAATGAAACAAAATTTTTTTTTGAAAAATCAATTATTTTGTTAAAACAAGCAGAAAGTTCTTTGAATCATTTGAATCGGACGCTTAGTTCTCTCAAAAATTGCCATTTTTTACATATTTAGCTCCGTATCTTCAAAATGCCTGGGCCTGCCTTTGCCAAAAACTAACAAACACTTTTCCCAATCATTATTAATTGAATGTTTTTTAGATCATTCAATTCGGATACTCCGTTCTCTCAAAAATTGATTTCTATTTTCTGCACTCTTTGCTCCGTATCTCCGAAACGTCTGGACCTGCCTTTGCCAAAAACTAATCAGCTCTTTTCCCTATCAATAGGAATCGAATGTTTTTTGAACCATTCAAATCGGTTGATCCGTACGCCCGAAAACATGGGCGAAAATTTGTATTCATACATACATACACACACACACACACACACGCACACACATTCATTTTTTCTGAGGTATGCCAAAACGTTCAGAAACCTTCAAAACGTCGAGAAATGTAAAAATTTTCAATTCCGATTTTCGGCCCATTACAATAACTTTCCCTACGGGAAGTTAAAAACAGCTTCTAAAAAATCTAATATTTCTTTTTAGTCTTTTTTAAAATTTGAAATTACGGTACGGGAAGTTCGTAAATTTTGCTATAAGGCGCAATGTCATGCCCACTAATTTTTTTAACTTTCCATAGGGTAGTTATAGTAATGGGCCAAAAACCGAAAATGAAAATTTTTGCATTTTTCGACGTTTTGAAGGTTTCTGAACATTTTGGCATACCTCAGAAAAAATGGATGTATGTGTATGTGGTGTGTGTGTGTGTTTTGTATGTCTGCATTTTTTCGTCACGTTTTCAGGCGCATAGATCAACCGATTTGAATGGTTCAAAAAACATTCGACACCTATTGATAGGGAGATGGGCTGATTAGTTTTTGGCAAAGGCAGGTC